CGGTCGCGCGGCTTTGCCCACCCCCTCCGCAGGTCTCCCCCTCCGGGGCACGGGAGCCGCCGGCGTCAGGTGGAGGGTGCCCCGCCGCGACGGGTGAGGACCGCCCAGGGGCCGAGGGCAGGCCCGCGAGCGACTGCGGTTTGGGGGGCTCCCGGCAGGGCGGGGACAGGACCGGGGGGGGCGCTGCCGTGCTAGGAAGAGCCCCCGCCTGCCCGGGGCCGGAGGGGCGCTGGCCTCCTCGCGTGCTGTCGGGGGGGGGCGGCGGTTTTTCCCGCCCCGGGGAGCGACGTGTCCTCGAAGGCCAGGCGCAGCCTCTGTGGCGATCATGCGAGCGGTCGCCGGCCGCACCTCCCGAGGGCGCCTCGTGACAGAAATGGCTTCCCTTTCCTGCCCTCCTGGCCCGGGCTGCCGGCGACCTTCGCGGGGGGCGTACCGCGAGAGGGGCCCCGGAGGCGAAGGTGAGGTTGTCCCGGCACAGAGCTTGCTGGGGCGCCTGCCCGGACAGGTGTCTGGCTGCAGTCGGTGGTCGCCTCCCTCAGTCTACCCCCCCCCCGTCATGTCGGAGGCCTGGAGGAGCAGGTGTCCCCCTCCCTTGAGGGGCGTGGAAGGGGGGGGTCCCTGCCTGTGGGGCTCCGGGCGGGCGATGACTCCGCCAGGCCTCCTCCTCCTCAGTATGGCCTGCAGCCCTGATGCCATTGACTATACGGGCCCCTCCTCCTGGGTACTGTCAGCATAGCGACTGCTGCAGTCTTCTTTGTGGAGGAAGAAAGTTTGCAGAGTGTGTGTGTGCCAAGGTTCTGTTCTCATGTTTGTTTTTAGAAAGCTGTGGGCAGCCTGTCCTGAGCTGGTGCCGGGTAACCCAAGCGAGTGCAACAGAGATCCATCTCCGGGAGGGAGGGGAGCTGGAAGGGAGAGTTGTCTTGAGGAGGAAGTGCCGGTTTCTGTGGCCCCTGCGACCCACTTCAGTCTGGCTGTGGTGCTAGTCCCTTGCGACACACATTTGCCTCGTGGCCTTGGAATGGTGGCCAGTGCCTTTCTGGACTGGATTACCTGATGCAGTCCACAAAGGTCTTTGCCATGATAAATGTGCCAGTGTTTTAAGTGTTTCTCTCCGCCCCCAGTGTTGATTAGGACACAACTGAGAAGCGTTTTGACTGGCTGAATGCCTGCAGAAATCGGTGTCCCTCGAACGGAAGGCTGGAAGGGAGGGCCATGCACCCCGCTTGCCGTCCCCCACCAGAAAGGGTGCTGCTGCTGCTGCTGCTCAGCCAGAGAAATGCAGCCAGGAGTCCATCCACTCTCCAAGACCGTCGCCAGTTGGAGAGCTGATTCAGTATCCCATTACAATGAAGGCTTCAACAGAAAACAAAGGAGATACTAAGTCAGACCAGTAGCTTTTATTTCTCCGTAAATTCTCTGCATTGTTTCCCCCACCACAAGTAAATAAATTAACATGGCATCTTGCATTGAAATAGTGAGTAGCCCACAAAATGGCTCCTCTGGAGCTGTTTCACTAGAGGTCAATGGGCCTCCTCCAGAGCAAGTGTGGAGTGTTGTTCCTGTGGCATGCAGCAGAGCCGCCAGCATGGCTGGAAGCACCGGTAAATGGATACTGCTGTCCCGGGGTTAGATTCTTTAGCTGGGAAGCAGGCAAAAGTGTTGAAATAGCTTGGCAGGTCTACTTTTGTTTTCTTTCCCTTCTCCTTGGCTCCGGGGTATAGTAATGGAGGGAGGGGTGGGGAAGGTTGCTGATTTTGATAAACGGGCCATGAGTATGGGGGGCGGGGGAACAGAGTTATTCCTCCTGCTGCCCGCTTCCTTCAGCTCCCCGATCCTCTTGCCCTAATTGGAACACCCTCACCCCGTCATGCTGTGCTCATGTTGTTCTCGGCGAGTCTGCTTTCCTGGCCAGCACAAACCTTGTCTGTTTGGGTTGCACTCTTTCCAGAGCCCAAAGCAGCCTCTTTACCCAGTTTGCTTTAGTCATTCGGCTTCTGGCAGGGGCGCGCTTGACTCTGTTTGTGGCTGTGGGGAAAGGAAAAAAACCCTCGTCTGTTTCTCTCTCTCTCTTAAAGGTGCCAGAAGATGGCCAGACCCACAGGGCTGTACTGGGAGATCACCTGGTTCACAGTCGCTACCATCTGTGCCCATCGACAGGTAGGCAAGAGCCATGCAGACTCAGCAGCTGCTGCTGAAAATGATGACAAACCAGGAAGCTGCTGAGGTGGCCATTTGCTCAGTTGTGCTACTGATGCTAGAATCAAAGGCAGCCGCGTATGAGAGCCAGTGGGGTGTAGTAGTTACAGTGTCGAACTAGGAACTGGGAGACTCAGGTTTGAATTCCCACTCTTGCTATGGAAGCTGGCTGGGTGACCTTGGGCCAGTCACATCTCTCAGCCTAGCTTAACTCATAGGGTTTTTGTGTGTATAAAATGAAGGAGAGGAGGATAATGGAAGCTCCTTTGGGTCCCACGGAGGAGACAGGCAATGTACAAGTGAAGTAAATCAACAGAGAGGCAGCCAACTTTTCCCTTAGCCTTTATGTCTTTTTGGTGAAGACAGGGACTCTGTATACTGCTGGGACTGAGTGGTTCAATCCCACACTACCTACATGGAACTCTGGACAATGTGCCTGGGTGGTGGTGGTTCTCCATTATTATTATTATTATTATTAACTTCAGCACAGTTGCTCAGTATACAACCCAAGGCCTTTTGAATGTCTGAGTTGTCCAATCCCAACAGCATGTCCTCCATTCTTCTGTTCTATGACTAACCAAATCAGTTTGGATCCAGTGACCCATGCGCAGAAGAGAAAAAATGGCCAATGGCACAGTTTGGCAAATGTCTGCTAACTCTAGTGTGCCAGTTGGCATAGTGTCATAATCGATTCTGTAGCCAGCTTCATGATTCCACAAGATCTTGTACAAGAAGAAGAACAATTCTTAGATTTTGTATCATGCTTTTCACACAGCACACTGGTGCAAGGTTGTAAATTGAGCTGTTCTGTGGGTGGAAAATGTGTTTGGCACACAGGGCGCCTTTTGGATCCAGTCCAGGGTTAGGCTAAACAGCAGTCTGATGCCCTTTAAATGGCTCTCAAAATCCTCCCGCCCAGGGTCTCCATGGCAGAACTGGACACTTTGCTCTCTTCTTTAAACAAAAGCTTTTTTGCCTGGTTTCCCTTTTTATTGTAGAAATATTGTAAGATCAATGAAAATGGCAAGCAAGAAGAAATGAAAGTGTGCACTTGAAGGTTGTCGTGGTTTTTATAACTGAGACATTTTGCCTCAGAATGTATCTGAAGGTTAGGCTAGTTTTTATGACTCAGACATTTTACCTTGGAATTTATCTGAAGTCTGTACAGAGGCATAATTTGAAAGCCCAGACTAACACTGCTCACCCCAAAAGGAGATTCAGTGATGAATCTGCCAAGTGTATTCTTCAATGAAATATTTGGTTTTATCATTCACATGTTTCCTTAGTGACAGCATTACCACAAAGCTTATGCAAGTTCCTGCAGTTCCCCTATGACTAATGACAGTTATTTAATTAGTATTCCTGGGACCCAAACAGCTGTTGCTCCCATTTTGGTGGCGGGGGGGGGGGAGTGACAACAGCACAAAGACTGAGAGGAGGCAGAGTGATGCTTTTATAGATGAATTCAGTACTAACACATGCATTTAAAATGTCCTAGTTGTTTTGATTTTGAAACAACAAATCTAGTCACTGCAGGAAAGTGGAAAACAATTCGCTTCATTATTTTATTTCTGAAGTACCATAGCATTCGTGCTGCTGTGCTTTATTGAAACATTTTGAGGGCCAGTTTTTCCAAATAATTATGCAATATTGAAAAATGATACAGTAAAATAAAATTGTAAAGCAGCACTAAGGAT